GGTTTTTAAAGTAATAATAATAATAATAACAATGCCGTTCAATAAAGCATCAGGAAGACAGTGCAAAACCGGGAGGGCCTTACAACAAAGCCAAACAGACAAAAAGAAAAGAATTCTCCAAAGTTTTTGTCTCTAAAAGGATGCCTTTGCAGACTCGTTAAATTTCACGCCCGCACGTCTTTCTCCTCTCTCCAAAACAGCACCCACACGCAGGCCCTTGGTTCTCGGTGCCAGCTTCCCGGTTGCCAAAGGTGGCAGCTGCCATGATAGGAAAGCAGGAAGACAAAGGAAAACAAGTGCCCGAGACCGAACCGAGAACGACAGGAGAGGCGCCAGCCTGCTGTTTCCCGCTTCTGTAGCCAATTCCTGGGAAAAACAAGTCGAGAAGATGGAATGCTTCTCGGTTTTATACTTCACCGTGGAATGAAAGAGGGCCCCTCAAAACAGACGGGGACTGGTTCGGATCCATTTTGGGGACGTCGGAGATGCAAACCGTGGATTTCGAGAACTTGTGGGGGTCTTCTTTTCCACTTGTGCTCGACAATTTGCAGTGGATGGAAAACATTTGGACTACAAGACCCAGAATCCCTGGACACTTTGCTGGGTATCTGGTTGGCTGGTTGTTGTAGTTACGTGACGTCAAGTCACCTCTGGCTCACAGAGACCCCAGGAATGAGCGATCTCCAAGAGGCCCTCTCCTCAACAGCCCTGCTCAGCTCTTGCAAACCGAAGCCCATGGCTCCCTTGAGGGAGTCTGTCCATCTCACATTGGGTCTTCCTCTTTTCCTGGTTGGCTGTAGCAGTCCAAAAATAGAAAACTTCCACGTCTTGGAAGTTCAGGTGCATTTTAAGTACGCAGGTTTCTTGACAGTGGATAGTCTTCTCTATGTGGTTCATCTGAGTTCTTCATCTCCATCTCACTCTCAGTTTTAATAAAGTGAATCTATTCGTATTTTTCAATTTTGGGCCATTTGTGTTTGAAAATGCCTGCATTGCGTCTACACACACCCACACCCAAAAATATCAAAATGAGAAAAATGTAGTAAAACTCATCATCTCAGCCAGCAGGGAGAAGAGAAGACTTTTGAAATTTCTCATAAAATTTATATCCTTGCTCTGGGATTATTTTACACAAACACACGCACGGGGGAGGGGGGTGGATGTCTCAGCCTCCTCCTTTCTTACAGTCCTGGGAATATTCTGTAGGAACATCTGCCTGTTTCTCCTGAGCTGGGATGTAGGAAAAAGTCAGGAGCTCTGGATATTTGGACCAAAGCTGGACCTTCCACGTGCAGCCTGAACATCACCGTCACACTGGAATTGGCACCTTTGAAAACATGGGGATCATCTTTGCAGCTCAAATAATGAGTAGAATAATATGCACGTTAACAGAAAACATATATACTGGGGGGGGGGGATGTCTCAGCCTCCTCCTTTCTTACAGTCCTGGGAATATTCTGTAGGAACATCTGCCTGTTTCTCCTGAGTTGGGATGTAGGAAAAAGTCAGGAGCTCTGGATATTTGGACCAAAGCTGGACCTTCCACATGCAGCCTGAACAGAAAACATATATATATATATATGCATGTTTCTGGAAAACTAATGCAGCAAGTTGCATTATACTGTAAGTGCGTCTTATGGTGCGAAAAATACGGTATATATGCATGTTTCTGGAAAACGAATGCAGCAAGTTGCATTATACTGTGGTTAAAAAAAACAAAGAGAAGGATTGCGTTTAAACAATTGTAATTATACAAGCAGCTAATCTCAGTAACTCATTCTGAGACATTTGTCAGAGAAAGAATAAAAATATTTCGTTGCTTATGAGACATTTGTCAGAGAAAGAATAAAAATGTTTCGTTGCTTGCAACTGCGAACAGTTCAGCAGCAAACAAAACTCTGCTCCAGCAGACTGAAGAGAGGGAAAGAGAGCACTCAGCAAAGGGGCGGTGTTCTCTTTGAATTCAGAGGCAGGAGGGAATGATTGGTTAGGGCTGGATAGATTGACAGGCATCCCAGCCAAGAAAAATTATATTCTATGGAGAACAGGAGGTCTCCACCTGTCCCCAGGAGACGAGAATTGGCTCATTCCTAGTCTTGCTAGAACCGTTCTCCCAGAAAAGGAGAGGGTTGTGATCAGACGCAAGGTAGACACAGAGCTGATCCCACAAGAAAGGGTGGCTTTGGAAGGAGCCAGATCCCTTAAAGCAACCTTTCAGCCTGTCAGGACATCAATCCAGCCGGGTCCCCAAAGTAGGAGCCCTACTGCAAGACCAAAAATCTCCAGCTTGGGCATGGGTCACGAGTGGGGTGGGGTGCTTTTGCCTGTATGTCGTGTCATCGCCAGCAAACAGGTTGCATCAGACCGGGCCACAGGTGGTCTGAAATAGGAGCTAAATGCCCGGGTCACGAGTGGGCTGGGGTGCTTTTGCCTGTATGTCGTGTCATCGCCAGCAAACAGGTTGCATCAGACCGGTGGTCCGAAATAGGAGCTAAATGCCTGAGGGATCACAACTCAAATCTGGGATCCGAGCCCAGTCGAAAAATGGTGTAGATCCCCTTTTCTAAGATCTCAGGCGAGGTGCGGGCATCTGCTTTGCAGAGCGGTGCATGCTGCTCAGAAACTCTCCAGGTCCCGCCTGGAGCAAAATGCCAGGTGCGACGAAGGCCTGCTATCAGTCACCACCAGTTGTTGCCGAACAGGCGCCGATGGGGGCACCTCTATCTGTCCGTCAGTGATGGCACCTGATTAATTTCGTAGCAGACGGAGGTTTATCTTGGCTTGCAGAGCTGCCTCCAGCCCTCCCAAGAGCTCCGCACGACGGCAGAGGTGATGCAGAAACCCCCGTTGGCATTCGGCACGGGATTGATCGCAAAAGAGCCCGAGAATTCCCCTCTCAGGTGTTTGTGACAGATAAGGCTGGGCTCAAGATCAGCTGGCAAATGCATCAGCAGTCTCTGGAGCTTTCTGTTTGTGCGGCTGTGACACACACACACACACACACACACACAAAAGATTGGAAAAGTCGCTATTTGAAACTTCAGCTTCCTGATCACCCACCTAACCTTGCAAGTCTCTTGAAGGTAGGATCTTTCTTCTGCCAAGAAGGCCTCCGGCTGATCTTCAGCCAGGTCAAGATTGACAATCACCTTGTACGGGTGTGAAAGACGGACAGTTAAAAAAAAAGGGGGGGGATGCCTTTGTTTGAAAGGTGATGCTGGAAGAGACCTTTTCAGATACCATGGACTGCCAGAAAAACAAACAAGTGGGTCTCAGAGCAAACTAAGTTTGAACTATCTCTGTTTTTTTTAATTACCTAAATTGTGTCCATTTTACTTTGACTAAACATCGTCTTTTTAACTCAATATTCTGTGAATTCGTATTTGTATTCTTTAACCTGTTAGCATTATGTTTTAAGGTAATCCTCCACACATGCCATGTTTCTATTTCTATTTACGTTTTACTCATCATCCTAACTGCAGCCAAAAGTTAAATCAACAGTTAAGATATCATAGTTAAACCTTAACAAACTAGCTTGATTTTGTCTATTTTATATTTTATATGCCAAGAAAGGTTATTATTGTAATTATTATATAGTTAAACCTTTAAAAGGACTGGACATTACTTAATATCTAGGTGACACCATAATTTTGTGAAAGGAACATCAAGCAGGCCTCCATAAAACCAAAATCATTACACACACACTTTACTTTCAGTGTACTGAAGCCGGATTTGATTTAGAAGGAAAAGGTTTCAGTTTTGTTCAGCAGTGAATTTTGAACTGATCTGCCTGGAAAACATTAATGGCTTTTTCAGCCGGATCGCCTTCCATTTGCTGAGCAGGCATCTTAATTAAAGACAGGGATCATCTTTAACACATTAAACGATTTTTTATTCAAGATGGGACTTAAGATAGACACACAAGACAACACAGAAATGGCCTCCAGAGAGAAGGCAGGAATTGCACTGTAGTCTCGCCAGCCGTTAGGTGGATTGTCTGATTTGCATCGCATGGCAAAATGGTCATCATTCATCTACAGCCCATCAAGGAACCAGTATCTCCTACAACAAATTAAGCCTGAACTATCTATCTTCTGGAGGCAAAAATGTTGAAACTGTGGCTGTCTTACTTTAGGCACATCATGAGAAGGCAAGACGCTCTGGAAAAAAAAAACTATAAATGCGAGGAAGGGGGGAAGGCAGCAGGAAGAGAGGAAAACTGAACAAGAGGTAGAATAACTCCCTACAAGAAGCCCCAGGTTTGAGTTTGCAATTGCTGAACAGGGTAGTTTAAGACAGGAGACGGCATCTTAATTAAAGACAGGGATCATCTTTAACACATTAAACGATTTTTAATTCAAGATGGGACTTAAGATAGACACACAAGAAGAACATGAGACCAGGCAAAACAGACTCTCCTGGCCACAAAAAAATTCTCCTTGGATATTTTTTAATTTTATTTATTTTGTACCTACAAGAAGCCCCAGGTTTGAGTTTGCAATTGCTGAACAGGGTAGTTTAAGACAGGAGACTTTGGAGATTGCTCATTCATAGGGTAACCATAACTTAGAGGCAACTTGGCGACATGTAACACAACAATAAATCTTTACTTGGTTCATGCAAGTTTGGTGAAGAACAGACTCTCCTGGCCACAAAAAAAAAATTCTCCTTGGATATATTTTTATTTTATTTATTTTGTGCATTATTATTTTGTTCTCAAGGAGTGTGTGCATTTTTAATGTCCATTTTTGCGCATTTCTGCAAAAAAATGCACACAATGGAGAAAAAGTGTCAATGGCTGCTCTCTCTCTTTGCACGGGTTAGTAAATAAAATAGCACTGGATGGGTTGTGTGTGTCTTTCTGCTGAATCCTCCTGTTCTTTTTGTGTTCATTCCAGGGGTGTGCAAGAACAGCCATAAGAGGGAACTGGATGTGCATGTGTGGGTTTCCAAGTGTTTGCTCAGATGCCAGATGCATTTTGCCCTTGTGACTCTCTTACCTTCCTGAGGAGTTAGCAGCTTCTCTCCTCTACAGAAAATGGCCAAGAGGCACGTGATGGAAAATCCGGTTCTCCACATGGTGCTCCTCTCGCTGGCTCAGGCGCTACTGGGCAGTCGCACCTAGAAAACAGAAGAAGTCAGTGTCAGAACCCTTTGGCAAGCAAGCAAGAAAAAGATCTGAATTACTGGACCTAGATCATTCAATGACATCAAAATAGGAAAATACACAGGGTTCCCCTTCCCTTCGTCTGGGGCATCCTGAGATGGTACAGTTTGCCCAAGGCTACCCAGGCTGGCTCTTCTCCCAGGATGCACAAGTGGGGAATTGAACTCCCAACCTCTAGCTCCACATTCTGACTTATGGCAACCTGTTCCAGGGTTTTCTAGGTAGAGAATTCACAGAAGTCGTTTCCCCTTTCCTTCTTCTCAGGACTGTGCAGGTCACCCAAGGCCACCCAGGCTGGCTCTTATCCCAGGAGGCACAAGAGGGGAATCGAATTCCCAACCTCAGCAATCAGATGGCTAAAACCCTGAGCTATCCAGGCAGCTTTCAGCGACGTTCAGTTTAAGTGACGTTGAAAGAAATTTAAGTGAAATTTATTTGCAGTTCTCGCTGTAGAGATAAGACCGGGGGAAAGGAGAGAGCCCAGATAAGCTGCTGCAACCGGCAAGATTTTCTCTCTTTCTCTCTGTGTTTGTGTAAAGTAGCACTTTCGCACACTGCTTGCTGGAACGCCAGGATCTGAAGCCCTGCTAGGGCCTTCCTTTCTAAGGGATGAGCTAATAAAACAGTTTGCATAACTATCTGCTGCTCAAGTGATGGTTTCATCTTCCTTCTGCGCTTTCTCTCTCTCTCTTTCTCACCACCCCCGCCTCTGGGATGAGGGAACATCTGGAAAATCCATTACTCCAATCAGAAAGCACAAGCCACCCCCCTCCCTCCTGCCCTCCTCCTGTTCCTCCTCAGTTTTCGCTACCAGCTCTGATGAAACCGCATCCATAATACGAAAAGGGAGAAGAGGGGATGGTTTCATCCTTCTCCCAGCCTCCAAGGAGACCTCATGCGAGAGCACCCAACAGACATGTTGAGAACGCGTTTGGGGAATTGGGGGGTGGGGGGAAATTGGGCAACGTCAAAAGCCTCCGATTCAACTCGGGAACTCCAATTTTGTAAGTGGAGGCATGGTGTTTTCTAATGACTGATTATTATAATGGATCGCTCGTGAAGGCAGTTATTGCGACAGGAGGTCATCGAACCCCTGTTGGAACCAATTTGGGTTTGAGCGGCTGGGATGGAATCACTTTCATGTGTCAGGAACAAACTCACGCCCCCCTCGAGGTCTCCGGAGGCTGCACGCTGCCCTGTCGTGGCCTCTGGCTCAGATCCATACATGCGGCCGTCTGAGAGGGAGCAGCAGCCGTGGCCCGCATTTCCCTGCCGCCTGAGGTCTGGGGAGAAGGTGCGCCACGGCCCGTCCCCATGGCCAGGTACCCCTCTTCCCCTCCCCGCCTCCCTCCTGGGGCTTCACCCTGTTTGCCCATCTATCTGGCCCTGATTCCCTTCCTCGTCGCCAGTGGACCTCCTGGAGAAACAGTGGATCTTTAAAGAAACCCTGCTCCATGCCGAGCTAGCTAGCCAGGGGTCCTGAAGACACTGTCAGAAATACCTGGGCTGGTTATGAATAGTAACAATAACCTTAGCACTACAGAGCTGAAAGGGACCCTATGGCTCACTCAGTCCCAGTGGGGAATCAAACTCCCAACCTCTGGTTCCGCACCCATAGCCTTAAACCAGCTGTTTCCCCCACAGGGCCCGTCTTTAAATAAGGAACCCAAAAAGCCAGGCTATTTAGGTTTGGAGAATGCAGCCTTCTGGGTCAGCCGCCTTTTGCCGCCCATGTGGCTTTGCTGCCTGAGGCAGGCACCTTCTCCATAACTGATCAACCGGCTCAGTTTAAGGGGATAACAGGGATACACTGCAACACTCTAGGTTGCAGTGTAGGTGCAGAATATTTTTTAAATCTCCCTGTTTCTTACCCTGTTTTCTTCTGCTGCAAGTAGAAAAGAGGAGAGAAAAGGTTGTGCTCTGCTAGTTTTCTACCGGCGAGGAGGTGTTTCCCCAGCACCATTAACACCTACAGAAACTTTTTAAAAATTGATGTTTCCTGGTACCATTTCGGCATTATACCACATTCTTTGGCAAAAGGCAAGCAAACAGGAGAGTGATCAACAGAGCTTTAATATGAGATGATCTACTTTTCTAAAGGAGTGTTTTTCAGGTCCCTAGCTTTCTCTTCGCATTGACTTGCCGTGTCCCTAAGAGGGCTTTCAAGGTAAGTGAGACATTTAAGAAGTGGTTTTACTAGTTCCACTGCCCCCCAGTGAGCTTTCACAACCAAGCGAGGAGTTAGAGAAGATTCCCAGTTTGGTGTAGTGGGTAGAGCGATTGGCTAGGACTCAGGAGAGCTGGCTTCCAATCGTTTGGTGGTTATGGAAGCTCACCTGGGGGAGCAGAAGTGGTAAAAGCACTCCGAAAAGATGTCATCTTATTTGAAAGCCTTGTTAAGGTTACTATAAGTTCAGTCCCGACTTGACGGCCCAGAACACACACATAGTCAGAGGCGTATCCACACCAATTAACTCTAGTTGGCATCAAACCAATATGCAACTCTCCTTGGAAGACAGTTTGCCCACTGACTTGAATGAAGCTTGGATACCCAGAGCAATGAAACATCAGCCACAGCCAGCTGTAGAGTTGAGGATCAAATTACATTTATAATATTCCTAGAAGTTGTGCTCCCTCTAGTGGTAAAATACACCTATTTCTCAAAGTACCCGATTTCCTTCACCTTCCTATCTGGCATTTAGCGTGTTTGGTCTTGCGATTTGTTCTTGGAAGATAAACACAGGTTTAATTTGCAGGTCCAGTTGTTGAGGCCTTATATCTCCACGGCTGTGTTGCTCAAACGCAACAGGGAAGGTTGTGTTGATCTTTGGACGAAGGATACACCCCCTCCCGCCCCAGCCGCAACATAACCCTTGGCACAATGCATCACTTTGAATATCTCCAGGTCATGTGGGAACAACCTCCCTAAGGAGAAAACAAGGTTGGCAGGACTATGGGATGCACCTATGAACTTAGCTTTTGTGGAGCTTAAAATCTCTGGAAGGGATTGACCTAAAGGCCCGAAGGAAGCCATACAGTCTGGGGAAAAGATAAAAAATAAATACATAGAAGCTCACTCACTAAACCAACTGCCTTGGGGGTGCAAAACACAGTCTCACTGAAACTTATTACACAGCACCCAATGATGTATTTGCTATGATTTCCCCATTTAATCCCAAACTGATTGAAGTGTCAGATTAAAGAAAGAGGAAGACAGGATTTGGTCCCCCCCCCCTTCTGAATGCCTCCAGGGCATAGAGAAATACACACAGAGAGAATTTCCTCGTAGGCGTGTGTACAGAAAACGTGTGCGAACAGTTCATCAAACGCTAGACCCCACCTGAAAGCCACACTTTTCCACACTTTTGCAAACCAGCCTCTTTCCAAAAGAGGTGCTTCCAGACCTCTCGTTGGAAAAAACAATGATCCGGTCCTCAGTGGCAATGTGTTCTTCTCTTAGCCTCTTTAAAGGGGATTTATGGGTCATAAAACTACATCTGGAGGCAATGTATAGGTACACCAGGCATTATGAAACCCCTGTCCTGATTCCTGTTGGAGCCTCCCCCCCCCCAGAAATGCGCTTTGAAGTAAAGCAAATTGAGAGAAACCTCCACGCATTCATTCAGAATGAAAGATGGATTTCAACATGGAGAAACCCCCAAGGGGGAGAGGAGAGGAGAACCACATCTCTCTCTGTGTGTGGAAACAAAGCCTGCCCCAGCTTAACTCATGATTTGCCTTTATTTTGGTGAGCCGGCAAGCTGCCTCCTCTGAAAATAGCTGTCTTCCAGAAAAGCGCCCCCCCCATCATTTTGCCTAAAGCAGAGCCCCTTCTCGTAGCCAGCCTGGAGTAGATCCCAACCTTCCCATCACTATCCGGACAGATGTCAGAGAGACTAGAGTTTCCTCTTGCCATTGAGCAAGGAAGGATCCTTACCTGTTGGAGGTGCTACAGACAGACTGCCATGTTTCAAAGGAGGGAGAAGAGTTGGACAAGAGTTGTCCCCCCCAGCGAGCCAGTGAGCGATCAGAGCAGACAGAGCCTCAGACAGCCCCACGTCACAGCTGGATCTGGCAACCGTCTGCTCCAACTTTTCAGTTGTTTGGAATTTTTCCTCCCCTCTCTTTTCTTCTTTTCCTCTGGTCTGTCTGTGTTCAAAGCAGGGTCTGTGGTGGTGGTGGGGAGGCAGAGAAAGCCCAGCTCTGACTGTGGCTGTGGAGAAAAGTTTGAGAAAAGTTTGTGCCAAGGCCCTTAGGGAGGTCCGGACATCTCCGAACCCGACTAGCCGCTCTCTTAGACAACCGCCCAGTCTGAGTCCTCCCTCCTGAGGTAGGAGAGGGAAGAGCGTCCCCCTTCCGTGCGTGCACACACACACACACCAAAAGCTCCAGGCTGACTCTGTGACGAAGAGCAAGAGCGGTTGCTTTTGCCAGGCCTCTGCAGTTGGAAGGGAGCAGCTCTTAAACGTGCCGGAATGCCAGAGAGCTTAATCGAGCCCAGCTGGGACATGAACAAAGGCCTGCAGGCGGGGAGAACCTCCTCCAAACCCATCCGCTGTTTCGCCATCCGTGGCTCTTGTCTCTTTCCGTCCGAACTTCTTGACACCTCTTCATTTCGCTATTATTTCCCCCTCTGGGCTAAGAAGATCAGATCCGGATTTGTGAAGCATTCCGTTTCATCCTCGCTGGAGCAAACGGAGCAAGCCCTGTTCCGACATGCCAGAGGAGAAGCCACCTCTTATTGCACCAGGGCCTGCATCCATCTACGCCTGCATTCCCAGCTCTGACTGGCAGCAGTGGCTCTTTAAGCTAGACTTTTTCCTTCCCCATAGGCTGAACCTGGTATACAAAGCCCTGCCCTCTACCATCAGAGCTGTATTGAGGGTGTGGGGGTGACTCAAGCTTTCACCAAGGGTACCGAAATTTCGAATGCACGGAAACGTTCTGCTAGAAGTGGTATGAAGCGAGGCACCACTTTCTGCTGGAAGAGCATCACCCTAGGTGTGTAGGCCACCTCCGGGCTCTCCTCCCTGGGTAGAAGATAATGCACAATGGGGTACACCCAGGGCAGAACCAGGATGCCCACAAAGCTTTTGGCGAGAAGGATCCTGGATCTGTTGTAGGTCAAAAGCTCAATTTGCGCCAACCATGAGATGTGGCTGCAAAAAAGGCGAATGAGGTTTTGGGATGCATTAGTAGAAGTAGAGCCTCCAAACCCCAAGAGGTGCTAGTTCCCCTCTATTCAGAACTGGTAAGGCCCCACCAGGAGTACTGTGTCCCAGTCTGGGCACCATGCTTGAAAATTGAGTCGTTTGAAATACGGTGCTGGAGGAGAGTTTTACGGAGACCCTGGATTGCCAGAGAGACAAATAAGTGGGTCCTGGAGCAAATCAAGCCTGAACTCTCTCTGGAGGCCAAAATGTTGAAACTGAGGCTGCCTTGCTTGGGGTACATCATGATTAGTCAAGATTCTCTGGAAGGGACAATAATGCTGGGAGAGGCTGAAGGCAGCAGGAAAAGAGGAAGACCACGTACGAGATTGACTGACTCCCCAAAGGAAACCACAGGCTTGGGTTTTCCAGTTAGAGATTGTCCTTTCTGGAGGTCACTACTTCACAAGGTCATCATCTGTCAGAGGTGACTTGACAGCACACAAGAACAGCAGGGACTTATACACTGGGAGCGGGTCCAGGACGGTTATTCTTCTGGAGCCACAACAAACCTCCTTCGTGTAGGGCTGCCAATGCTTCTCCCCCCAGGGTCAGGATGAGACTCATACGATTCTTTGCTAGAGGATTTGTCCGACAGGGCGTGCAACATTAATAGGGAACTCCCAGATGTGTTGGGGACATTTCCCATCATCCGCAGCCTCGTAAGAAGCACCTCCAGTTTCATACAACCTGCAGATGGGAGCAGAAAACGGGGAACAGGAATCCATGTTTGCATCACAGCAACGTTGTTCTCCTCTTTACTACTTCGGGACTTTTGTTTTTTAAAAAAATCCGCCTAAGTGGCTCCAATTCTCATTCTTAAGAATTCAGCGCTGTTCGAGAAATTAACTTTCCACCGCCGTTTCTTCTCCGTGCATTTTCGCTCCTTTTCGGTTCTGATGTGATGTTTTCCCTCCTCTCCAGTAAGTAACCTCGAGGCGATCATGAAAAGCGGGGTACAAAAATCCCAACCGAAGAAAGAGACATAAACATCTCATTGGGGGACGGATGGGGCTCATCTCGCGCAAACACTCAGGTAAATGCACCTGTTTCAACTCTAAAGGCACCGTTTTACCCATCGCAGCTGACAAGATGTAATTTTGAACTGCTCATAAACTCTTGTAGGATAATTAGGTTTTCCAAATACACTCTTCCAGTTAATTGCCTTCTTGGCTTTTTCATTCAATGGGGGACAGGTTTTAGCATAAAAAAGCAGCACAGCAGATAGAAATGAGGAAGAGAACGGAGAGGCAGGGAGCTGTGGGCGGTGAGATAAAAGATGATGGATTATCCTTTCATTTTTGGACTGGCTGGCTGCAACTGGTACCAGTTCTCCTCCATTCGGCTGTGGTTTGGCCTCATCTCTTGAGTCCTGTGTCCAGTTCTAGACACCGCCCTTGAAGAAGGATGATGACAAACTGGAACAAGTTGAGAGGAGGGCAACAAGGAGGATCAGGAGACTGGACACCAAGCCCTTTGAGGAAAGATGGAAAGAACTGGGGATGTTTAGCCTCAAGAAAAGAAGACTGAGGAGTGATAGGATAGCCCTTTTCAAAGACTTTAAATATTGTCCTACAGAGGAAGGGCAGGATCTGTCCTTGATCATCCCAGAGTGCAGGACTCACGAGAATGGGCTCAAGTGACAGGAAGCCAGATTTAGGCTGGAAATCAGGAAAAACATCTTAACAGAGCAGTACGACAACGGAAGCAATGACCTCAGGAGGTGGTGAGCACTCCCACGCTGGAGGCACTGAAGAGAAAATTGGACAACCATCGGAAAGATCTGCTTTGACTTGGATTCCAGCATTGAGCAGGGGGTTGGGGTTGATGACCTTATAAGCCCCTTCCAGCTCCATGCTTCTACAATTCTGTAAGTGGAAAATTGCAAACGTATGTCTGGTTTCATCTATGAAGCTCTGGAAGACAAGTCTGCAGGACTCTCCTTCAAGGGGGCACTAATCCTTGAATATAGGGACAGACAAGTCTGCAGGACTCTCCTTCAAGGGGCGCTAATCCTTGAATATAAGGACATGGTGGCATTGCGGGTTGAACCACAGAAGCCTCTGTGCTGCAAGGTCAGAAGACCAGCCGTCGTAAGATCGAATCCACGCGACGGAGGGAGCTCCTGTCACTTGTCCCAGCTCCTGCCAACCTAGCACTTTGAAAGCATGCAAAATGCGAGTAGATAAATAGGTACCACCACAGTGGGAAGGTAACGACGTTCTGTGCCTAGTCGTGCTGGCCACGTGACCACAGAAACTGTCTTCGGACAAACGCTGGCTCTACGGCTTGGAAACGGGGATGAGCACCGTGCCCTACAGTCGGACATTACTCGACTTAAATGTCAAGGGGAACCTTTACCGTTACTAATCCTTGAATGGGAGCTCTTCTTGCCAACCTTAAGTGCCTCGTTGTGCAATTCCCCTTCCAAGCCGAGTCTGTGGTTTTGGTTTCTCAGTCATATTGACACAGCGGCTCTTGTTTCTGGTAGCTTAAGTAAATCAACCTATATTGCCCCTTTGTGGAAATTCTGAAGCTGTATGAGGTGGAGAGGGAGGGAGGGAGCCTGGGAGTGGCGGAGGTTCTCCCATCATGAGGTGGAGAGGGAGGGAGGGAGCCTGGCGGAGGTTCTCCCATCAAAAAACATCCATGAGAAGGTTTTCGCCACCTGTTCTCTTGAGCCCCTCAAAAGAGCCAGCAGCCAGAAGGAGTCACTGCTATCATTCCGGTGAAGTCTCTAAGACCCAAGGGAGAAAATGGAAAATAAATCGTAGTCAGAAGAGATCTGGGACAGGCAAACATGGGAGGCAGAGAGAGAAATGATACAAGGAGTTGTGTAAAGCTGACTGGTGCAGGATGAAGTCTTAGAAATGAGTCCTGGCATGGTGAGACCCCAAATCTCTGAGAACGAGATTTGTTCAATGGTAGGTTCTATGCCCCTAGTTGCTGGCTGGATAGCTCAGTGTGGTTTAGGTTTCTGACTGAGAAGCCAGAGATGGGGAGTTTGATTGCCCACTGGGCCTCCTCTGAGGAGTCCCAGCCTACGCAACCTTGGGCAACCTGTATAGTCTCAGGACACCCCCAGAAGATGAGAAAGATGAACCACTTCGGAGTATTCTCTACCCGGAAAATCTGGTGGCCCTAAGTCAGAATTGACCTGACATCGCATAGCGATGATGATGTCCCTCGTTGACGTGCAAGTTGGGGCACATACCTATGAGGTTGTGAAACGTAATGGAAATACAGACCACAGCACGGCAAAAGGAGGACAGCAGCCACCTTAAGAGTCGTTGTGAAGGTTCGTTAAACAGTTAATGAGAGAGAGAGAGCCAGTACAGATTCTAATTGCGAAGACTTGCTCATACGTCCTAGTTAGGTGACAACCGCATCTATTACTCGACTTACAGAGAAAAGTCTGCCAGAGAAAAGTCTGCCTAAGCCAAATAAGAAGAGTTTGGCCTACGGATATATACAGTTGCAGAAGTGAACTTCACAGATGCTGTGGGATGTGCTGTCTTATACTTTCAGACTCTCTCTCTCTCTCTCTCTCACACACACACACACACACACACACACAGAGAGAGAGAAGAGAGAGAGAGAGAGAGAGAGGTATCTTTTATTTCGAGGCCAAACTACAAATCTATGAAAAATTTAATCAAAGGGAGAGGTGTTTAAAAAAAAAAAGAGTCCACAATGAAATTTGCCAAGGGCTTTAAGGGAAGCCAGCTCCAGCCTACATTTCAGGACGAAAATAGCTGCCGTTAGTGCTTCTTTTTTCCTGTCGGGTCTTGCCAGCCAACATGGCTATGGAGGGGGAGAGCTGGATGCCGTTCTGGCTCCCACATCGCAATATGCACAAAGTGCTACCAAGACCTGAAGGGAGAGCGAGGAGCGAGACAGAATGCTCATTGTGGCACCCTCGGCCAAGATGCGGTCCCAATAGCTAGAGGATGCTTTCGGCTCAGTTGAACCAGGGACTCTGGTGACAGATTTTCAAAGACAAGCCAAGTTTCCAGCTGCTGGATGCTACAAAAGCAGGGAGACGGGACAGCCCGAGAAAGGAGGAGGAGGATATTTCTCGAAGTTTCAAATTGGGTGAAGATGTGAAACTTACCCTTTCTTCCTACAGATGTTTTCATCTCCTTATAGAGCAGAGCTGCGAAGTTTAGGATCTTTTCCTGGGGAGGGAAAAATAAAAATAGCGATGTCATTGTTTCGT